TTTCTACTGATGAGTAGCTAGCTTGTGTGGAGACTACTGCGGTAACAGCAGCATCAGACTGTCGTCTCCAACTACATCTCATCAAACAGTTGGCTACTCACAGACAACACTCAGCCCAATGATACCTGATCATTTAATGGCATATGCATAGTCTGGATAAGCAAAATCTGACCAGTGTGTTGGGTCATTGATGCTCTTGGACAGGGGCAGACTGACAGGATGTGACAGCAATCAGTCTTTATTTGGGCATTGCAAATGCTCAGGTTCAGACAAGGCTGCAAAATAATGACTACACATATCTATAAAACAAACATTTGTTTCACATGAGATAAATATACACAAACATATTACCAAAAAAAGACTGTGCAACCTTGGGGATTTGTGTAGCACCCGTATGTGCCAGTGTGGTCTAACTATACTGGCTGTTTCCCCATGTTTCCAGTCTTTGTGCTAAGCTAAGCTAACCGGCTACCGTCAGGAGTCTTGTATTTAACTCTCTGCGCCAAAAGCAAATAAGTTTATTTCCCCAAATGTCAAACTTCTGATTCAATGGATGGGGCAGGTGTTGAAATTGAAGATTAGATTGAAATCTAATGAGAAGACCAAAAGAAATACTGAATTAGTCGTCATTAGTCTCTCAGTACTTTCTGACTTCCCTAGCCCATCTGCAGCTCTCAGCCCCAAGCCCATGTATTCCAGCTGGAGATGTAAATCTTTAAAAATGGGTTAGAAATTTTAAGGTTCATCCTTTAAAATAGGCTAAACAATGCAATTAAACAGCTGGGCACTGTAGATTTTAGCATTCATCGTTACTCAAACTATTCAATTACTCAGTCACTTAAAGGAGTAATTAGTGCATTTCTTAGGGACTATTTTCAGATGTGTATGTTTGACTGACTACAAATAAGGTACAGGGTCCATGTTCATAATAAGGAACATGGCACCCAGAGCAACACTGATGTGCTTTAACAAAAATGGAGCTCTATGGCTCAGAGGAATGAGCTCAGTGTCTGGCTACACAAAAATACTCTGCATTGTTGCTTTTGGTCTTTTTGTGAGATTTGTTGACAATAAAAAAGAAAATAAAACAAATAAAAATATGTATAAAAATCCTTGTGATGAGGACATGAATGAACTGTGTACCTGACTGTGTTGTCTGGCTTCCTTTTACAATCCAGGCTGCGCTCCAGATGCTAAGAGGCTATTTATTAACTCTGTGGGTGCTTCTGAGTCATTGTTAAATTGGTTTAACAGGTCTTTAAAACATCATCAGTATGTCCGCCATACCATACTTGCTCAAAGGCACATTGCCTCTGTAGCAGAGACAGGATGTGATTCACACTCAATTTAACACTTTCTGTCTCAGAAGCTTCTTTAAAGCAACAATTCACACAAATAACTCATCTGTGTTTTCTGTATTTTAAGGGTTGGAATTCAAAATGTTTTGAGGATATCACACATCTAGATTATATCTAATACCCATGTAGCATGAAGCGAGACTAATGCACCAACACACACTCATTAATATTCACAATAGCATAGGTCAGATGAATGCTAACCAGTGCAAATGAGCAGGGGGGCAGCAGCGATGTGTACTGAAGGAGGGAGAGGGGAGGTGCTGATAGACGTGGTGACATGAAGGACTCGTCCTCTGGGAGAGCACTGCAAATGAACCAGCAGCCACACCTGGGACTACACACACACACACACACACACACAAGGTTGACAATGATGCTGCTTTCTCTTACTATTAAAAAGGCACTGTATACTTTTGAGGAAGTGTCATTACACCCCCATCCTGGTAGCAGTGATCAAAAATGTTAATAAGGAAAAAATAGCACAAGAAATGTTTGTTATCAATACAGATGATGATCCATTTTATCTCAATATGATCTTGTAACAAGATAGACTCGAACATCTTTTGTTCTTTATTTCTGTGCTTTAAAGCTGCCTGTAAAAGTACATTAGTGAAAACTGTCTGACATGATGTAATACTCTGTTTGTGTTTCTAAATCTGAATGTAAACTGTGACATAAGCTGATGTCTGAATACACATAAAGCAGCATGTCATCTGCTCTACATATGCAACCAACTGTGCACTAGTGGTGCAATTAATCATGGTTAAGAATGCCATAGAGGCTTGTGATGCAGGGATTATGTAACCCACTTGTGTAATTGACATACTAACTGTAAAAACTGAAGTCTACAGAGCCTCAAATTTAAAGCCACTATGTGAAGGATTTAACAATTTCTTACTTTGGCGCCATCCGGTGGTAGTGTTGAAAATGATCTGTAGCAGACAACAATAGATGTCACTACCTTATCAGAGAATGTCAGATCCTCCAATCATTACCTCTTTGCACATCATAACTTCATGCAGCATGTATGCCTCTTTAAGTGGGTCCAACAGTTTCAGCGCCTCATGGCAGTGCAGGTTGGTCGTCTATCTGTAAGGACCTGCGCAGCCTCTAGGGGGCAGGAGTGTGTGTGACAGGTGTGTCTTTGTCTCTGACAGGCAGTCACTGTGTCTTTGATCCAACCAGCAGAAAGACAAAGAAATTTGCTCTTGACATCTCTTGCTTGAATCTGTCTAATTTCTACCATCTTAAGTATGATGGTATGTTGCTATGAATTCTGGGTAAAATAAAATGGCTGACCAAGCAACCCATGTCAAAGCACTCAGCTTCCTTCGCTCTGAGTCAGTAAACGTTTGCCGTGTGGAAGAATTCAACAGCTACAAGGATATTTTACTGGGAAGGTCAGTGATGGGTGCTATCACTGCCACTGGTGTTACTGGTCAGCTGCTGTCACTGACTGTTAACATGGAAACATGGTTCTTTGTCCTGAGTTAACAATAGGTTTCCAATGAGTCAGTCTTTATTTTTGTGGAACTGTCTAACTTGCATCAGACTAATCTAAGAGCAAAAGTGACATTTCACCTCAAAATCAAAAATCCATATTCTTCATCTTACCTGTAGTGCTGTTTATCAGTCTAGGTTATCTTGGTGTGAGTTGCAGAGTGTTGGGGACATTGGCTGTAGAGATGTCTGCATCCTCTCCAATGTAATGAAAATACATGACACTGGGTTTGTGTTGCTCAAAGTGGCAAAAAAAGAAAAGAAAACAAATTAAAAAACTTAAAAAAAAAACCCTCAACAGCAGTGTATTTTCGTGATCATGATGCAGTTACTCAAGAAAATCTACATAACTTGTTGTGAGCAGTTTAATGAGGGAATGATTTTCTCTCTATCAAACTACACCCATCAACCGCATCATTCAACCTGGTCTCACTCAGAAGTGGTTGAAATCCAGTGCTTGGGCAGTGATATGCAAGTAGTGTGGGTGGCAGAGCTGGTAGACGGGTCCAAAAACCATCGACTTTCACCTGGGAGAGCAGTGTTTGCATCCCATAAGATTCTTAAGCCAAACCCTTAAACCACGTGTGTTAGTTGTTGCAGGAAAAAAAAGTCAATTTGTGGTGTTGTACCAACATAGTGCGTTTATTTTGAAAGAGAATGTATGTAAATGTTAAATTTCCTGTGAAAACAGAAGTGTATTTTGAAAGAAGACAACAGGCAGAACTTAACACAACATCCCAGAACGTCAACATCTGACACACCCAGGGTATCTTTCGTATCTGAACGTGGAAGGTCCATGAACAAACATTGATATGTGACAAGGTCAGAGTGAGAATGTGTTGCATCATCGCACAAAAGGAAGTGTGCATCTACTCATGGACGAGAGGCACACGAGAGGCACATCATCCTCTGGTGTTACATTGAGCTGTAACACCAGCTAGCTTAGCGGTGCTAGGTGAACTTCCTTCTGCACAGTGATATAGTTGGCAGGTGAAGTTCAGTAGAAAGAAAGCAGTATAAATAATTTATGATTTTCTACAAACCAGGCTAAAACAGGCTGTCTCTGTGACACCGGCCTCTCTTGCTGGAAGGGTCCATACAGACTTCAGTCAGGGGAGAAAAGGTCTGATGCCCTCAAACTGCAAATAGTTCCTGAGATTAATTTGTGTTTGTACTTGATATGCTCTTAATTTATTCCCTCTGTCTAGTAAATTTTGTGAACATATTTAAACACATTAAGAAAAACTAGAGGACCAAGTAATAAGAATAATAAAAAACTTGCCACTGCAACAGACAGACAAAGCCTGTTTTTGATAAATGGTTAAAATATAAATGAGACACATTACCTCTTTTTAATCTTCAAACTCAAGGAATAAAAGTTGGTAAGAGGAGTTTTATGAAGTCTGGTTTCTTTTTTATGTATAAAGTCAGAAACATGAAGTGATATTTTAAAATTAAAGTGTATTGTTGCACTTGTGTGGTATTTTATTTCTACTTTGATAGAAAACACACACACCCATTGAACACAACGTTCTCATGATGAGTTCAATGTAATCTTGTAAAATGTACTTTCGGCGAGAAACTTGAATAAATACAGCTGTTTAAAGGAGAAATTTGTTGATGTTTTCACTGCGTTATTATATATAGTAAAAAGGGTTTTTGCTCATTTTTTAAAGATGTTTTTTATATTAAAGAAGGTTTTGTTAAAGCCTGTTTATTTATATATTGTTGTGGTTTTGAATTTGTGCTCATTCAAAAGTAGTGCAATGAAGGACTAAAACTTATAGTGTAGATTTCTGTGTTTCCCTAGCACCAAAGAAGAATAAATAACTACACAAAAACAAAAGAAACACAATATAAAAAAAATAAAATGGATATCAGTTTCCCATTGGGCACCAAAAAATGCAAAGTTTTCTACTAAACTTTTCTCACCTGAAACATGACAAAGAAAATCAAACAAACCGATATGATGTTTCTTTTCTCTCTCACCTCTTACATGTCCTCAGTTTTCTGTCTACCTTGTAAACCGACACCTCAAACTTGCAGGCGTGTTCAGGAGAGTGTGTTATAAAGTGACGGCAGCCTCCACCTTGTTCCAGTGGTGTGTGTGTGTGTGTACTTACATGTGTGTGGAACCTGAGAGCGGTGAACATCTGGCTGAGAGTGATGTGTGCATGTGTGTGAGAGGGAAACTGCGGCCGAGAAGATACTGAGAGGAAACTTTTATGATAAAGGAAACCTTGTGAAGAACCTGCTGTTGGCGTTTGGTAAGTATGTTTCTGCACGATAGAGCTTCTGTGCGTTCTTGTAACATTTATGAATGTAACGTTACAGATGTTGCAGATGTGGTCGATTATAATGAGGGTAAAAACACACTGTAATTATGAAAATGTATCTCTTGTATTGAACTTTTTGTTATAATGTAAAATGTTATTATTTCTTTAGTTTATGACACAGCAGTAATAGATTTAAATATAACTGATTTAAATATATGAAAAAGTGATCACATAAAGTTAGTTTTTCCATGTATTTTACATCAGAATTTAACACTTATTATTGTTTCAGTAGTGTTTTTCTGTAATTTAACGTTACAACTACCCGATTTAAAGCACTCTGGATGTTTTGTTTTTCATTTTTGCACTGTTAATAATCTTTTTATACACATGTATTCAGAGGAAAATGTTAAAAATGTAAGTTTTGCAAATGAGTTATCGCTTATATGCTCAGTACATCAGCACAGAAATGAATCCTCCAACATGTTCATGATGTCTGACCATAGTAAAAAGAAAAGTTGAGTCAGATCTCCCTCAGTGAACAGACTATTCAGAGGAGATCACTGTTTATTTCATTTACCTGACAATAAAACAATCACTGAGAACAATTTTATTTTTGTAAATCTCTGCCAAAACTGTATTTTATTGTGTTTTACTGGAGCTGGAGTGCAGCGAGTCGACACTGCTCAGAGTGCAGCAGGCGATGGACCTTTCCATCCTGTGTTGATGTGAGGTTTATTTAGTCTAGAAGCAGCAGAAGGAAAGCTACAGGGTGAGAGCACCACTATAGCTGGAGCCTACACCTCAACTATGCTGCTGTGTGCATTCAATACCTTTTATATATTCACCAGTTTTACACTGTGTCTTTTAAGATGTTACAAACTGACTCCTAGGACAGCAGACTGTTAGTTCAAAGCTGATGGAGAAGCTGCAGCTACAAGCAGTGTTGCTGGTAATGTACTTGATGTTATTAGTGAGGTTTTGGAAAGAGGTTTTTTGACACAGAGAGTTGTTACTGAGCAGGCTTTGGAGAGAAAAGCAGGATGTTATAATGTTTTACATTTCTAGAAACATATTTCAGAGTAGCAAAGACAAGCGCTGTGCCTGTCATATAAGGAAACAGATGTCTGTCAGCTAGTTGTGAAGTTAGTTGTTTACCGAACACGAGCTTTGGTTTCATACAGTACATGTTCAGGTATTTAAGCTCAAATTTTTCAGGTACACAGGTGTGTAATTTGAGCTGTTTCCCACTCACAGCAGGTTTGACTGTAAAGAAGTTCGCTTTTATCACAAAAACAAAATTAAAGGCAGTGAAATACCACTTAAGCAAATCTTACTTAAAGGTTGTGCTGAGTAAATGAGGTGGAATAGAAACACTGATACATGCATGAGCCTGTGTGTGTGTGTGTGTGTGTGTGTGTGTTAGCACCAGTGTCAGTGTGTGGTGTGTTTACAGACATGGACCCTCAGCTCGGCAGGAGCATAAAGGCTCCTAGTGTCTCAGAGCTAGGCCAGTAGGTGACCTTTGCCTTCCCTTCCCCTGCAGAGCCATCCTGTAGCAGAGGTGTGAATGTTGCACCTGGATGTTTTGTTAAAGACAGGCGCTCTCATGCCCTGCTGGTCAACCTGTAAACCAGCCTCAAACTTGGCAGGCAGCCCTTCTTTACATTTACCTTGTCTCTGTCCCACGTCTGCATGATGTGCTCACAAAAGGCCCTTTTCACTGCTTCCAGTCAAAACTGTGTGTCTGCAGCATCCTCACATTTATCTCACACAGCCTGAACGCAGGAGTCACTGACACACATTAATGCATGTTTGTCAGTGACCTACTTCGTCTGTGATCATGTGAGAGGGCTTTGTCAACTGCGTCAAGCTGGTATGAGTTAACTTTATCAACAAAATACATCTGAACTTGACATGATGATGTGTAACAGTGAGCTACAGGTACTTCAAAGGTCCAGTGTGTTGGATTTAAGGGGATATTTTGGCAGAAAATAAATATATAAGATGTTTTCTTGAGTGTATAATCGACTGAAATAAGAATGGTGTTTTCATTACCTTAGAATGAGCCATTTATATCTACACAGGGAGCGAGGCCTTGTCCACAGAGATCACCATGTTGCACCGCCATGTTTCTACAGTATCCCAGAATAGACAAACCAAACAATGTCTCTAGATAGGACCATTTGCGTTTTCCGCGTCAGCCGCTGTAGTCAGCAGCCTCTGTGTGACAAGAGGGTCGAAAAAACACTGATTTTTTTTAACATGAAACTGCTTTATTCAGGGTTTTGACCGGATTAAATCACCTGGTCCATTTGTTTTAGAGAGGAAGAGACCTCTGCAGATCATTCAACTCCTGGTGAAAACCTCCTGAATGTCTTGATCTTAAGTCATCAGAGAAGCAGGATAAGCAAACATTAGCAGATGCTGGGCTACTGGCTCGTCCCTGACATGCAGAGCAGCGTTGGAAAGACTGCTTTATTCAGTGTTTTTACCAGTTTTAATTACCTAGGGTCTCATTTATAACAGTTGTGTATGCATAAAACAAGGCCTGAAAGAAGAGTACGCCACTTCCCATGCAAAAGTTGTGATCTATACAAACAGACTCGATGGGAGAAACTTTGACCCATGCTTATGACCATTTTGGAGACGGGAGATTGGCAATGCAGATGGTGAGGTGGAAGTGTGATTGTAGAAACTGTCTGTCTTTTTTTGCGCACACCATTTTTGGCCTTTGCCCGTACATACATTTTTAGTATGGGTCCTATGCATTGTTTTACAATGTTTTGGAGAGGAAGAGACCTCCCTGTAAAAACCTTCTGAGCAAAGAACGCTGAAGGAAATCTAACTGGAGGAAGCTTTAGCTGGTTGTATTCACCAATACTCACCACTAGATGCTCTTTAATCTTACACTGTTCCTTTAATGCAAAATGCAGGTGGTATACAACTAAATGAGCTCAAAAAGCCAGCTGTTTTGCAGCCTGTCCGAATCCCAAACATCTGCCCTCCAGGTGATTATTTTCATAAAGATAAAGTCTTTATCAGAGATAAGATTTTTATTAAAGAAACTGGTGGCGGTGGCAGCGTCACTCTGACCACCACTATGATCCAGACTGAAATATCTCAAAAACTTTTAGATGAATTCTCATGGAAATTTGTACAGATATTTATGGTCCCCATACAATGTGTTGTTTTTTGCATTGATCCCCTGACTTTTCCTCTAGCGCCACCATCAGGTTGATAGTTGTGGTTTTTAGTGAAATGTCCCAACAACTTCTGGATATTTTGCCATAAAATGCTGATATAGATCTTCATGTTCCCCTCAAGATGAACTGCATTAACTTTGGTGATTGCCTTGCTCTCAATTTAACACCATTGAGGTTTCAGTCCAATACTTTGATTTCTGACCAAATACCTGCAAAACGGGTGACACTCTCCTCAGCCTCAGCTGCACATCAGGTTTAGTGCTAATGAGTGAATGCTTACATGCGCACACACTAACTATAAAACTATATTTGCTAAAAAGAATGTGAGCGTCGTTACTCACATTAGCATTAAGCTCAAAGCCTAATCATAATCATCACAACAAACGATAAAATAGTTGCTGCCATGAAAACTTCTAAAATATTCTCAAAGTATTATGAGCCTCTGTGCATCCTCTGTGTTCTCGCCATGTGAAGCCTTAAAATCCACAGATTTGTTGCTCAAACTAAACCTCAGATCATATTTCATGACTCACCAGTATCTAAAACAACACAACGCCACCATTGTTTTAAGGCGGTGCTGTTTTCGGTCCGTATGCCGGCTCAGTCTTGTTACTTTACAATGAAACTTGAGTCATCTGGCACAAACCGAGCCTCTGTCTCTACTGTATATTATTTAGCAGACCCAGTGTGACCTGCTGCATGTGTTGTTGTCTTAATTCCAGCTGACTAGCAGCAAGTATTACTGGCAGTCAGAGCATGTCTCTGCATGGGGCTGAGCTTTATGATGGAGGCTGCTCTGGGAACAGGACAAATGAGCCATATAGCAGCACCAGGAGACTGGCTCAGGGCTGTAGCTGTACATCTTATTAAACCTGCAGTCAGTCAGTTTAATCCCTTTGATTAATGACTGTGTGTATTGTGGTTGCGAGTGTGTGGACGCCAGTGTATAAAACGTGGTATTGTATTGTTTCTTTTGTACATATGTGAGAGAGCTCTGTGTTTTCACTGCACTATAATTACTCTCAAAAACCATTACGTTTTAATTATTTATTGCTCTTTTGAAGGATCGCTGTGGATCTTTTTAAGGCACCTTTTTATGTTTGATAATCTTCCTTCACAGCTCAGTGAGTCTGAAACAGAAAGAGGGAATTTTGCACGAAATGATTTTGGAAAATACCCACTTTATTTGGCTAACTCCAGTTGCTGAAGCTTTATATTTCTGCATTAAAAGAGGGATTTGTTTCCCATCTCATACACTGAAGACAGGGATCTCTTTAAAGACAGTATGAAGGGCCCAGGCTCAGCAGCCCAAGGGCTCAGAGGGCCCCAAAGCTAGAGCCTCTGCATGAGTTTCTGTTAATAACTTTGGATTTCTTATCAAAAAGCATAGTCAATATGTCAATAACAGGGCTCAAAAAAGAAAAAGGACAAACCTTAACATTCACATTGAAGATGTCACAAGAAAGAAACCATCATGATTTTCAGAGTGTTTCAGTCCTCTCAGTTTATCTGCAGGACTTTCAGCCCTGTTTCCACCGAGCAGTACGGTACGGTTCAGTTTGGTACACCTTTTTTCCATTTTCACTGTGAAAAGTTGTGGATGATACCCATGAAATCTTTCCATACTGTCCCCATTTTTGGTCCCCCCTCTGTTGGGGTACCTAGCACACAGATCTGGTACTAAAAGGTGGAGCTGTTAACACTGCAGTCTGTTGATTGGTCAACAGAGGACGGTCACTCTGCTCAGAGCTGAGCTGTGGCTGGTTTTGAGGCTAAACTGTAACTATAAAATGAAAGGATGTTTTGCTGCCTCTCACAGCAGCTGTAGTCTGAGAAACAATTGTTTAATTCAGTGGGCTGACTGCCGTTAACCTTTTAAGGTGGAACATTACTTGTTATGTTACTCTATGCATGAGTTGGCGATGTGAATCCATCAGCACATCTTAAATTTCACTGTGACAACTTTGACCATTACTTTAGTTTCTATTGTCTCTCTTGGATGACGAACACTTTTAGTAATGAGTGGATCTTCAAGCATTTAAAAATATGTATTAATTTCAACCGGATTATGTGAACTGCATGTATCCCAATCCTCACATGGAGAAAAAAAAAAAAAAGAAGTGTTGCAGAGCTCCATCAACACTAAACCCCTGAGCTTGCCTGAGAAGGACTAAATGCACAAACCCACTATTTTTGAATCGATGGGATATTTTTAAATATCCATGGAGAGAGACTCTCACTGCAGCCTGTTCTATTTTGTTCTGAAAGTGTCATGTAGCCTCGTTCTGTGGACGATAGATGGGGTGCAGACCTGATGGAGAGCACCACATGGTTACACACCAATGACCATGTTGTTTCACTTGTGATGTTATGTGTCTTGTATTTTGCGGAAGTATAATGAAAGGCAAACTGGCACACTGTCCCAGTCATGGCTGTATTTTAACTCTTGCATCGATAGATTCAACAGAGGGGCTCAAATGGTCAGTTGTACTGGCAGAGCACAGCTCAGCTGAGTTCAAGTCTTGATTGTAGCTAAATCTCAAAACAAATCCTCTGAAGAGTAACCGAAACATCAATAAATCAAAATGTAAATAAGACAATACGAAGTGTATGCAAAATGTCAAAATCAAAATCTAACATGACCATAAACAACATGTATTATGTGGTCCACCAGGGTCTGTCAAAGGCCGATCGGAGCTGAAGCATGGACAGTGAAGTGGAAGCAATGAACACCAGCCTTGACAGTCCTCTGAGCCCCAGGCACCTGACCGGGTTGGGGATGAACTGTCTTCTTGGCCAAAAGTACAGACACTCTGGGCCCGGCCTCGCCAGTCCTCAGGAGTACAACCAGTGGCTGCCTTATCGCCATGACGCCAGCCTGCTGCCCATGAAGGAAGACCTTGCCTTCTGGCTCAACTACATCCTGGGTGAGACTTCCATTGATCCATATACCAAACCAGTGTTAACTATTTTTTGTAGTTATCCTCAGATAATTAACCCCTGGCAGGTTGGAGCTGGGGCTTTTATTTTGAACAACAGGTGAAAAAGCTGCAGTCACGTTAAACACAGAGGCACATTAACCTACTTATTATCCCAAATCCTTGAAACACCTCTCCATGAGGGGAGATGTGGCTGGGACTCCAGGGAAAGGGATGTTTCTTCCCACTTTACTGCATTGTGAGGGAAAAACATAAAGGGTCTGCACATGCCGCAACGTGTTCAAGCTGTCTGGAAAGTGACAAGACTCCAACAGGATGAGTTTCTGACTAATGCTGCCACAGAAAAAAAAAAGAAAGAAAGTCAAAATAGCTTGTAGGCCAAAGAGTTATACAGGTTTGCAATCAGAAAAGTTTGCTTCTAGTGGATCATAAGTGTTGAATGAGAGGGATTACTTTTCTGTCTTCTTCTTCTTTTAAGATTTTCTATGTAATAGAATCAAAGTTTTAACAGATATGTGATTACTGGAACATGCATGTAAATTATATCATATGTATTTATAGGAGTGGAACATATTTCCACAAAAATACCATGGTTTACCAGCTCATTTACATTTCTTTTCAGAGGTATTCTGATTATTCTGCTCTCTCCTCACCTTCAGAAAACCCTGCTGACTGAAAACTGCACCGAACAGTTTTGTCTCATACTGCAAAAAATATGACCCTCGAAAACATCTGAGCTGATAAATGTATTTCAGTTTTTTTCAGTGTTGTTTAAATTGTATGGGTTTTTTTTCTTTTTCTTTTATTTTATAAATCTTAGTAATATTTTCTATTCTGATGCATTGGGATATAAAGTCTGAGTGAAATATTTTTAAAACGACTCATATGGAAAGGCATGAGTATTCTGAGTAGTAACTATAAACTACTATACACAGTTCAGTGTTTCCGTGTGTATCCTCAGATGTGGACCTCGCAGCAGACAGTCTGATGGAGAGGTTGGATAACGGCGTTCTCCTCTGTCAGCTGGCACAGCTGCTCCAGGACAAGATGATGCACACCAACAATGGCAAGGTGCTGCAACAACATGCAAGTCATGCATATTCACACACGCAAACATGCATACAGAGGAGACGACACAAGCAAAAATGCCAAAAACATAAACCACACAATATAGCAATTTTATTCCACAAAAAAAATGTGCATGTGTGTGAAGTGCATGTGTGTCGAATATAGTTTGTTTAAGAGACTCCTCCCAATATTTGAAAAAAAACTCCCTGAATCCCAGTGCAGTTTCCATCCCACCCTCAGCACAACAGACATGAACAGTTACCAAAAAAATGCAAGGCACAAAAACCACTATGCATGGCCTTCATCGACCAAAGCACTGGACAGTCCTCTAGAAGTGTGGATGTCCCTAAAAAGTTAATTAGGATTCTGAGGCTCCTTCATGAGACTTGTAAGCAACAGTCCTCTGTAATGGCAGTGAGACCAAACCATTCAAGGTAGAAACTGGCATAAAACAAGGATGCACGATTGCCCTCACCCTTTTCACAGTCTCCATTGCAGCAGTACTCCTCCTAATGGGTAACACTTTAACCCCCAGTGTCCAGATCATCCATACGACACAGTACAAGCCGCCCAATTCACCAATTCAATCAATCAAACTAACTGTTTCAAGTCCAAGATCTTTCACACATCCATCATGGAGCTGCAGTATGCAGATGATACTCTCTTTGCCCACACAGGGGGGCTACACTTGCCTTGAAATATTAATTGGTTGTATGAGCTTATAATTCATATTCATATTAAATGTTATGATAGTAAAAAACACCTGCAGCTACGGCCAAATAGCCAGGCTGTAAATGCACCTCTGGTTTCAACTGCATGGTCACTATGTGTGTGTGTGTGTTGAAAACAATCACAGCCTTCAATAAGAAGAGTGATCCACTGGCGAGCTGACGCAACTTCTGGATCATTCTTCGCCCGAGACAACACCGCCAACTTCCTGTACTGGTGTCGAAAGATTGGCGTTGATGAGGCTTACCTTTTCGAGTCAGAAGATTTGGGTGAGTATAGACTGAGGATTGCACCTAACATAAAGGAGTTAATTAGTTCTGAAGTGAATCATGTAATGCAACATTTGCAGTGTGTTATTAATTAATTTAAAATCTTCAGACTTTCCACCCTGTTGAAGTCACAAGAGCTGTTTCTAAGGATTTATATATTTGTGTCCACTGTAGTCTACTTGCTGTGTGGGAACACTGTGTCCTTTATATTTCCTCTTGTGCTGTCATGGTTACTAACACACTGTCTTCTCTTTTGTCACCTCTGACCCTCCGTCTGAATCAATGTGATGACATTGTGCATCATTTATTTCTCGTACAAAATAGTGCATTTCTTTTAATTTGCTTGGACCAACATTTAGTTTTAAATCATATAATTTCTGTGCAGTTGTGTTTTTTTCCTGTTGGTGATTTACAATATAGAGCAGGGAATATAATTTAGCTATGTGATGGGCTGTAACATTTTCACTGTGATGATTATGCGTTTCAGACTGTCTGTATCATTTCTCACTTATCCTCTCTGCATGTATAAGCTCTGTGTGCCTGAGGAGAAAGAAACATGCAGTTAACATGCTAACGTCTTTCTGTATCATTAAACGTCCTCTTCACTTCTTACTTGGGCATGTCGACGCAGGGCAGCAGATGCGTGCGAATGATAATGTGCAGGTTAATCCCCACCAACAATAAGTCCGCCCCCACCAAAGATCCCCCTTCCTGCAGGCACACTAACCCACTTCACTTAACTAATTGAATGACGGGGAGAGTAAACTTACTGTATTTCGACAGGCTTCAATTTTCTACCTCAGTGACACGAAGGCACAGATGATCACTCTTTTTCTTTTCTCTCGTCTCCTTTTCTTGCTGCAGCCATGATGATGGTAATAGTGGATGTCAAATACAGGTGAATGAAAGCACCATCAGTGACATACTCTCTTCTCGTTACATTTTTATTTTGTTTTTTGTGCTTCTTTTTTGTCTGTTTCAGTTATAAGTGTTGTGGGCTTTTATGTATTTGCACATATTTCCTTGCATGCTCAGCCAAATCTTCGTAACTAACAAACTAACTGTGACTTTTCCTGGTTCAAACTAAATGCACCAAGCCCCCCTTTGTGATGTGTAGGTAGGGGTTCAGGATACTTGTTTACAAAGCTTTCGTGCCCTCATGCCCTCAGCTGCACCTCCACAGGAATTCCAGCTCAGCTTCAAAGATAGAGACAGAAAAGGTGCCCTCTCTCTCTCTCCAGGCTGCAACTTCTGTTTTCCTTAGACACAGACAAAAGTTTATCTCCCGAAACATCTTTCCTGTCAGATGAGTGACTTCTTTTTATATCCACCTCTCCACCCTCTTTGTTTGTGCTTCCTGTGCGTGCCGTGTGAAGTCCTTCACAAGCAACCGCGGGAGGTGTGCCTGTGCCTGATGGAGCTGGGACGGATTGCAGCCAGGTAACTGCCTTGCTTTTGGTACAGCTCTTGAAAAATAAATCACAACTGAATCTCACAAAAAAAATAAAAAAAGATAAAAACTTCCACCACACAACAATCATAATGTCAAAGACGGTGGCCTTCATTTGCTGACAAAGATGATTTTAAATGGCCAAACATGCAATACGCTTAGACATTATATCTGCTTTTTCTATCCCCTACTAGATTCACAAGTCAGCCTTTAGACGCTTTGCTTAACTAAAGACTGATGTCTTTCTCCCTGATTTTGTGTTTAGATGGGCGAATACAATTTCAGAGTTTAAAAAAACTCCCTACGTTGCAGAACCAATAGTAAATCTGCAGGGCGGTCCTTCAGTGGCTCGCTGAACTCTTATGCTCGTAAACATAGTCCCACTGCGTTAAAAGTTTTAAACAAAGTCGCTGTAAGTCCTTCATTTTCACAATCTTGTGGCCTGAGCACACGTTTGATAAAACGGAGTTAAATCTCTCGGCATCCATTTTCAAGCTCTCTGTGTGTTTGTGTCCTTGTGGAGGAGAAAAGGGGGAGCGCACATTTCAGGGAGGGCGTGTCCTTTTCAAAAATGCAAGAGGCGTTGCTTTGTTGCCGGCTGCTTTCACCGGTGTGTTAAACACACTTTAGAAAGGAGTGTCCCCAGACTATCAGAAGGCGGAGCTCTCTGATTGTCTGGTGGCGAGACTAATCCCCTACAGTCCCTTACAAATGAACCCACCCATCATGTTCCTAATTTCATTAAGAATTTTTTTAAACAGGATGTTACTTCACACTGTTAATTATATATATATTGTCGCAATATTCTTTTCATACAATTGAACTCTCACTGGGGCTAGGGGGCGCTATAGTCAGGTCACAAATATGTGTAGCCCCAGTTAAGCCCCCTGAAACATGGTTGTATTTTTAAATATTTTCTGAAGTGCTTTTAAATTATTGATTGTGACTGCACGGGCACTGTTCGGTGCAGACGTCTTTCACCTTTGCTGCAAGTGAAAGACTTTTTGTCATTGCCTTGTGTTCACTCACATTACACTTACACTGCTTTCTAACTGGACATGATGTGAACGAGCAAATGGTTTAGTGTTTCCTAATGAAGATGTCCTAACCTGCTCCATGCATCGGCAAACAGGCGAAGTGACGTGTCATTATGTTGTAAGAAATATTATCATATTTTTGGAAAAATCAGAAGCAGACAGAGGGGTCTACAGTCTGTGTTTGAAGGATATATCCAGGATGTCAAACTGACTCAGCAGCAACAAAAGGTTAAAAAGACAAAGATAGTTAGAAGCTAAAGCCGAACTATAGGCTACAGATCACAGTGTAAAAGTGAACCACCACATCACTGCTGATCGCCACACAAGACAATGAATATAAAGGGAAACTTTGCTGATATTGAACCAGCTGTGTGGCATCACAGTGTGTGCAGATGAACGGTGTTTGGCTTCACCCATGTGCTGCTGCCAGCACCTGGACCTCCGCCAGCAGACGGGCAGGGATCTCTGGAGGAAGTCAAACAACGTTCATCTGCGCACACTGTGATGACACACAGCTGGTTGAATATCACATATAAATGACCTATTTGAACTACTGATCCTTGCTTTTTACTGTCAGTCACTCTTGCAGCTCACAGTGTTCAGTTACGTAGTATGTGATTTTCTTTTTTTAATCAGTACAAATGTCTGTTTTTTCAAATTAGTTAAGCTAAGCCAGTTTCAGTCTTTCCATGTGCCTGGTGGTGACTGCATTAGTATCCTCTGAGGTTCAAGTATTCCTGGTTGTGAATCCTATGCTGTGTGACTTAGTGTTGATTTATCCTTATGTTTGCTGATATATTTGTTAAACCTCTCTCGTAGGTTTGGAGTGGAGCCTCCGGGGCTGGTGAAGTTGGAGAGGGAGATAGAGAGGGAGGAGGCGGGGTGCTTATCTCCATCCTCCCCTCTGCCCTTCTCCTTTTTTCCTCCAACATCATTGTATTCTCCATCACAATCATCCCTACCCCGCGCCACCTCCCCTCCTCCCCCTCCACCTGCGCCCCTCACTCCGAGCACAACCGGTCTGTCTGAACCCCTCGCTGCCTCCCTCGCCTCTGATCTTCCATCAGCCACAACAAACCCAGTGTCTACATGTTTATCCCCTCCTCAGTCCTCCCTCTCAGCCTCTAACCCCTGTACAACCACAGCCTCTACACAAACACCTTTGTTCTCTTCATCCTGCACCGCTGACACATCTGCCTCAGCTCCACCGTCCGCACCCTCGCTGAGCCAAACCCTGGTATCCACCACCAAAGTCTCCTCCACCACAATAATTAGCCACACTCCCACAGCTACGCCTCCCATCACCTCCCCACCTGCAGCTCCTCGCTCCTCCAAAAGATCCACAACCCGGAGGAGCACAGGCCCCAACAACATTTTGGATGATATTGTACGTATCTCACTGACAGTGAAAGTAACCTTATTTGAATTTACAGAGGGTGTATCCTGTATGATTTACCATCTCTCTGTCTGACATGTTCCAGGTGAGGAACATTATAGAAAACCCTGCCTGCAGCTGTGCCACCAGGTTCCTTGTTGAGAAGCAACCTAAGGGCTGCTACCGTGTTGGAGACAAAGTCCTCTATATACGAGTAAGTATGTTCATGCTGACCCCATCTCCTAGAAATGATTACGTTATTTGCAGAGTCACAAAATATTGGGCCTATCTGGAAACTGTTCACTAAGTATTTTATTTATTTGTTTCATTCGTAGCAACTAAAGCATAAATAAACATTCCTGTTATGTTCAGGCACTCACAGCAGGTTAAAGTTAGGGAATTTCAGACCATTCCTATGACCAGGGTGTCATATACTGACACTTTCTCACACCCCTTGGTGTTTGATATCGACGCCACAGGCAGTATTTGGCATCTTTATGGGACACATCTAACTCAAATGTAAACCTATCTGTGGCAATACATGATGCTGAGAGAAAAAGATGAAGTATAAAAAGCAAGAAAGTCCATGCAGGGCAAAAGGGAGGGAAAGTGGATGGGTTAGACCAAACTAGACTTTCACCCAGGACACTGCAGTTCCTGTCCAAAGTGAAACCAAATGTCAGTGTTGTTCTAACACATTACGCAATGTAGTATGATATGTCACTCATGTGATATATATATGTCAGGTAACATAACGTAACAAATTTATGTATTTTAAGCCAAAATATGATATTGATGAGATGCTAAGAGGCATAACAAAGAGTTGGTACAACCCAATCTCATATCAAAGTCGTTGAAATCCAGCGCTTTGGCAGTGACTTGCAGCGTCAGACACAGACAGCAGAAGCAGTCCTTTAACATCGGTATGATATGCAGCCGGTTGCCGTTCTAGTTTAACAGTGTCCGGTGGTGTCAGGGGGAAATGCAATGTGACATGAACAAAAGTTAAGGCAGTGAAAGTCCAAGTAGGGTGGGTCGTTGGGGTGGTGGATGGGTCCAACAAACAGCAACTTGCACCTGGAAGGCTGGTGTTTGCATCCAGAAGATTATAAAGCTAAACCCTGTTATTTTTTCTAATACCTAACTAGGTGCTTTTGATGCCTAAACCCAATCACGTACATTAGTTGTTGAAGGAAAAAAAAAACAATATGTGGTGTTGTACCAGCGTTGTGTGTTTATTTTGCAGGAGACTGTATGTAAATGGTAAATTTCCTGTGAAAACGAAAGTGTATTTTGAAAGAACACAATGCATGTAACAGGCAGAACTTGACACGGCGTCCCAGGATGTCAACAACCAACGCACCCAGGGTACTTTTCACATCATATCTGGAAGTGGAAAGTCCATGACCAAACATCTATACGTGACGAGGTCGGAGTGAGAATGTGTTGGTCGGTATTTGACAACTTCGGAATTAGATGTGGCTGGGAAATATTGTGGTTTTAGCCAAATACTGAAAAAGTCCAGACTTTAAGACCTTTAAGCATGAGACAGGACAAGTTTACAATGTTGTTATTTATCTTAAATTACAATCCTTCCCTTACCATAACTAAAATCTATCTGTTGTTACGTCCACCATTCAGTTCCTCCTCCCTACAACTTGTGTGCAGTAAAAGAAATCACCACTTCCTACACTTGAGAAAATATTGTTCTCAATTCTGAAATTATGTTTCACATGAATACATAAGAAAACAAACTAGTAACATATAAATGTATTTTAAGATTTAGGATTTTATGAGGATCCCCATAAGCTGATGCAGAACATTAGCCACTATCAGCTACGTCAGCTATAAACATATTTTCTAGAGGGCTGCTGCAACACAGTCACCAGAATAGATGTTGCCATTGTACATTGCATTATGTTTCTTTAGTGTTTCAACAACGCTGTGGTTAATTTGCACTTATGTTTAGGCACAAAATTCACTTGGTCATGATAAGGAAAAGATCATGTCTGGGTGGCACAATCACAGCTAAAGATGCTGAAATGTCGCTTTAAAAAAACATCAGGTTTTGTTGTTTGTTGGTCTCAATCAGTGGTCTCCATCTTGGCAGCCATCTTGCCTAAGTGTAAAGATCCTTGTGCCACTATCCCCTTCACCTTCACATGACAAAGTCAGCTCTTATACTATGTCATGTTAGAAATGCTGATATGATATGTAGGAAATGTACAAATGTAACGTATTCCTGGTTTGCAGAAATGTACAATGCTAACATTTTCTTCTGGGGACTGGGCTGATGAGCACCCCCTTCACTAAATGGATGATAATGTTATTTTCTAAGATATTAAGGTAGTAAAATAACTAAATCAAAGATGTGGTTGTGTGAAAATAGATGCATTATTGTGTAATCTGGAATTATAACTTGATACCATGACTTTTTAAATATAATCCACATCTAATTTCTCACCCAGTGAAGACACGTCACAGATGCTACAACACATAATGAGGTGTGAGTTGTGAAGGCCCTCAGGTTATTAATCAACAGCTGAGTCAGCAACAAGAGAGTGTGTCAGAGCGACTGATTAGCAATCTTTTGGGAATGAGACGTCGGTGCCTTTCAGCCTCCCCGAGTCGTGCACCGCACCACGTGTGTCTGTACAAAGGCTCGAGGAATGGCCGTCGGGGAGGCAGGGTTGCTTGGCAACCAATGGTCAGGATAAGACAGGGCTGACAGTGATTTTATTCAGTACATAGACCTTCAGCAAAGAGTTCAAACCTGAAGGAAAAACAAACACGTCTCTTTCAGGATGATTTGGCGAAGATATGACCGTGGTGCGCGGATCAAATGGCAGCCCACTCGGGATTCCAAGTCCACCTGGGTGTGGAGGGGTGTGAATATAACAGGAAGGTTTTACTTCACTGTCTGCAACCATCAGTCCATACAAAGAGAAAATATAACAGCTTCAGTGTATATTTAGTAAGGCATTAACTATAAATCCGTTAAAAAGTTCATCCTGTAAATTTAAAAATAGTTTATTTTTCAACATCATAAAATGTCACAGCTTTGGTGGCTAATTAGTCACCAGCTGAAACCCATTTAATGCTTTGTGAATTATATTGACCCAGCACTCTGTTAACTGGTAATCAATGCTGCAGCATCAGTCTGCGTTCAACAGCTACATTTCTGACTGGCTGACAGACGACATGTTTTCGCTGTCCATTTAGAAAATAATGCCTCCCTTCGACTCACAGGACACCTGTTTCTCCACAGCACACCTGTCAGTCACATGGGAGCACGTGTCTGAACACCACATCAAAGACAGGCAATAAAGATGTCATAACCAAAGCGTGTTATAAGTTTACGGTCAGGTGCAGCAGGTCGCGAGAAAAATCCCTTTTATTTACTTCATATTTCTATATTTCAAGGATTTGTTTTTGTACACTGTCTCGACTGTTTGACCTTTTGTGCTCGCCTTCTCTATGCAGCCTGCAGTTACAATATTTCACCATAACTCTGGGTCCATCTGTTAGGTTCAAGCTGTAATTACTAGTTTGTAGACGCTACTTGAACTGCTCCCGTCTCTTTTCTCAAACACACCTCGGCTGCGTGAATAGAGCGTTGTAGCCCATCGACCCTGACTCCATCCATTACCTTGAGCTGCCTATGTGTGCACAGGGAAACACGCCATAAACCTCAATTACCATACACCATGATAACCCCTGTGCAGCTCCTAAGAGAGAGCACGCCATTCAATGTGTACAGACCTTTTTAAAGAGCAGATACTATTGATTACCGAGACAAAGTCATTAGAGAGGGGTTTAATCAGACAGCTTGTTAATGAGCGGCTGAGCATGACCGCCCCTTCCTCACGTGTAAACTTTTTACCCCACCTCGTCCCCCCATCTCTATTCCCTCTGGAGTCTATTCAATCACGCTGGCCCTGGAGTGCTCCGCCATTCTTTGGTGTTGAAAAAGAGGAAGGCTTTTCTTTCTTCTCTGCGCCCAATTAGGCTCTCCTTCGGCTTTGTAGCGACACTGTCTGACTGTGTCAATGGAAAGAAAAGACATTCAAACACCTCACAATATCATGCCGCAGCAGTTCTTTGTTTATCATGCTAGCTACATAAGACATGAACCTAAAAAGTACAACGAAATCGTCTTGTTTTGAAGACTGGAACCAAAATCAGGACCCAAGTGAGGATGATTAAATTGTTTTAAGGCAGACAGTCCCCTCATCATCCTCATTTCTTAAGTGTACCTGAACAAGACATTGACACCATAGAAGCTCGAGGGTCTCTCTATTGTAGGTGACCCTGACCTTTGACCTTATAGAAGAGTGGGACTGCAATTAGTCACATTCATGCTTTGAGCTAAATGCTAACAGCAGCATGTGGACATAGTCACAGTGGTAATGCTAACATGTTGATGCAAGTAGTTGTAATGTTTACAATGTTCACTTTCGTAGTTTAAATATACTAAGCTATGCTAATGCTGATGGGAATGTCATTGGTTTTGCAGGTATGTTGTCATTAGATTAAGTGACTGTTGTTATCTTTATGATTCTTTATGCTTCAGATGGGGCAATCTGCACCTACCTGTAGGTAGGAGTGGGAATTACCAGAGGCTCCATGATACAATATTATCACAATACTTAAGTCAAGATACAATATTATTGTGATTTCTGAGTATTGTGATAAAATATTTTGCAATTTATTACCTTCTTTCAACTGTAAATTATGTCCACGAAGAAAAACTTTGTCAACCTCTGTATTATTCTTCTCCTCTTTATTAAGATAAAGTTTTCAGTCTGTTCATCTCACCTCAGTCATTTTATTTGTGGCAAAATGTATTTAGTGGACTGAAAAAAAAAATATTCCAGTAGACTACCTAAAGTTTAATGTGTATTTGTAATATTATTAATTTATATAATAAACAAACTGATTTGGCACTGTGTGACGATACGATATTGTCACACAAAAATATCACAATACTATGCTGTATCGATTTTTCCACCACCCCTACCAGTACGCCAGAGGGTGCGTATCCAACACTGGGTTTGGCACCAAAACTACTTCTGGAGTTTATGGAACTGAAGCTACATGCGTAACACACTTACCTAAAATAGATGATGTAAATGAAGTATCCTAGGTAAGTTAACCTACATATGCAGGTCAACATTGACTTTTGGTGTCACACAGGACACAAACAGTGGTCTCCTGGGTTGAAGTCCTGTGCTTGTTTGACCTATCCATCCAAGCTGCAGCTCCAGTCATATTTACTACAGAAACAAGAGGTCACTGTCCAACAATACACATAAATAGGTAGCGTAGGGCCATGTGGTGCATTCAATTTGAGCTTAAAAGCCTGAATTTCCAAGTTCCCAGACAAAAATTTTAGCTGGAACTTCACCTTAAGTCAGATTTCGGACTCAGAAAGTCCGGAGAACCTCACCAGCCCCAATCATAAAATCCCAAGATGGCTGCTCCATACATTGTGAAATTGTGAAAGCTGTTGTACTATAGTGATTGTTAGCACTTTTGTCATACTTGTGTCTCATTTTAACATAAATGCATACAGTACTGTCCAACTTTTTTCTGTAGACATGTTGCTTCAGTGTGTAATGTGTTATCATCAACTGGTACTACTAACAATGGCTAATCTGCCTATATCTGGTATTGCTAAAACATCTTGGTTTTTGGACATGTTGCATACTGGAAGGCAGTCAATTCTGGTGTGATGTCATTCCTAGCTCTGACTTCTGATGTAAATGAAACCCAGTAACACTACCTCAAATCTTTGCTCCTGATGTCTGCTGATAAGACCCATTCAATGGGCTGATAACATTTGAAACAGATGCCAAAGTGGTAGATCAACCAACCGATGCCATGCCAAGGGTCGTGCTGCTAGCATGGCTGAAGTCTACGTCCTCATCCTTTGAAATACGTCAGATTAGTTTTAGTTATTTGGCCCAGTACCAAGAACTTCAGGGTTTAACAACCTGCACAATAGAAGGTGTAAAACTGTACTAACTCTATTCTTAAATCTTCAATTCAAAAAGAAAAAAAAAACACCAAAAAGCTTTAGAAGGGAAGAAAAGGTCCATCTGCAGACTAATCAATATACTGTTCCAGGGACTCATAAGCATACAGTAGTACACATTCAGTATCTACCGTATACTTTATTTAATCAGGTATTCTCATTGAGATCAAGACACACCTGGCACACACATGTGCCTGCAGCAGCTCATAAACTGTACTGCTGCTTAGTTTCTCTCTTTACCGTAAATATTAAAAAATGACTGTACTCAAAAACAGCATCAAACCCAATGGATGTGGCTAAAGCCTGCCTCCTACTGGCGGGTGTGTAAATGACTCCTCCTCCCTGAGTACACTCATACATCTTTCAGCAGAAAAGGAGAGAGAGAATCAATGGAGCTGCCAGGGAGGACACAGGGGAATCCAGACGGTAGTTTATGGGCTGCAGACGTAGCACACTTTGTACGGAGACCTGGCAGGGGGAGGGGGTAGTTGTAGAGACAGAAATAAAGGAGTCTGCCTGACAAAGAGGGCTTGTGTTGAATATTACAGTGCAGAAGGAGGCTGACTCTGTGTTTTAATTTTAGATTTGGCAGCATATGTCCCTGCTTTACAATAATTCTGATGTGTACTATATAGTTAAATTTAGCTGTAGAAATATGCATATTATAGGTTAAAAGATAGGAGTTTATTTAACCAGGTAACAAGAAGCAGTCATAGCCAAAAAACAGTCAATAATCAAGTGACACATAGGATTAATAAAAACAATTTTATGAGCAATAAAAACCATCAAATAAGAGTTTTATAATCTCAAATTTAATTTAATAAATTAATTAA